AACAGGTGTAAAGTGATACAGAATTGTGGTTTGGTTTGCTTTTTTGTGATGGTTAATCAGTATTTTTTCATATACCTGTTGCCTATTTATATGTCTTCTTTTGAGAAATGTCTTTTTAGGTTTTTTGCCCACTCTTTAATTGCATTATTTGTTTTTTTGCTGTTGAGTTCCTTATATATTGAATTATTAGTAATTTAAAAAATAGCATTAAGGTGCAATTTATGTATCATAAAATTCACAGTTCAGGTTTTAGTAGATTTATACAGTTGTGCAACAATTATCACAATCCAGTTTTAGAAAACTTTCGTCTTCCAAAAAGCTCACTCTTGCCCATTTGCAGTCAATACCTGTGCCTATCCCTAGCTCCACACAACCAATCACTGATCTGCTTTTTGTCTCCATAGTTTTGCCATCTCTTGAAATTTAGTATTAACAGAATCATACACTCTGTAGTCTTTTGTGTATACCTCCTTTCATTTAGCATAATCCTGTTTAGTAATTGGAATGAATGGACAAAATAGAAAAGCTTTGAACTTGGAATCAGGAAACTTGAATACTAGTGTCGGCTCTGCCACCAAATATATAAACATGGGTTAACCACTTGTCCCATCTTGGCCTGTGATTTTTTTCCATAAAATGAATTATTTTGAGTTTCTTATTTTCTACTTTTCACAGCTGTGTAGCCATTCACTGACCTTTTCCTAAAAGGTACATTAACTCTTCCTCCTAAAGATAGCCACTGTGTGTGTGTGTGTCTTCTTCTGGATCAAAAAAATGAGGCTTATGTCAGCTATGGTCTGAATGTCTCTTCAGAATTCTTATGTTGAGACCTAACCTTCACTTCCACGGTTTTAAGAGGTGGGGACTTTGGGAGGTGCTTATGTCATGAGGGCAGAGCTCTCAGGAATGGGATTACTGCCTTTATTATTAACAAGGCCTGAGGAACCTTGAATCGCCCTTTTCTGCGAAGTGATGACTCAGTGAGAAGATGCCATCCATGAAGCAGAGTAAGTCCTCACCAGACACCAAATCTTGGTCTTGCACTTCCTAGCCTCCAGAACTGTGAGAAATAAATTTCTGTCATTTATAAGTTACCCAGTCTAGGGTATTTTGTTTTAGCAGCCTGAACAGACTAAGACATGGTCAAAAGGATGATTCAGCAATGAACAAATTTGGGATTGTTTGGAAGAATCAAGATGGTTGATTAAATATTTTTTGGCATTTCTTAGTTCAGGATGGGGATAATCTTAAATGCTGAGTTAATAAAGATTTTTGAAGAGAACAAAGGCATAGTTGAGTAATTCTGTGAGGTAGAACTTCAGAAGTGAAGCTTGTTATGGACAGAAGTACAAGACTATGCTGTTTTAGTTTTTTGTTCTGATAGTAGAAAGTGGGGTGGAACAATTTCAGTGAAGTTTGTGCCAAGGTGCACTCAAGGTAGTCAAGTGGGATTCGATTGTTTTTCAAAGGAGAACAAAAGAAAATGCATCACTATCATTGGGAAGATTGTCCTAGAGGCAAAACTGACAGGTTACATTCAGGTTATAAACTAGGAAAAAAATACATGTATAAGGGTTTAAAAAATAGGAGTGTACATGTATATATGTGTATGTTTGTAACAGGAGGAGACGACTGAGTAGGCTGGTGTCAGATATATGCTAAAAGGGTAATGTTCATTTTCAGTATAGAATAAAAAAAGAAAGAGGATTGAATCACAACTGCCTAAATTTAAAAATCAGTGTTGTAACTACTTTCAAATAATCAATAGTTTGACTTATAGAAACCTTCAGAGCTTGTTATTTTACCTATAATAGTAGGAAGTATGGCTATTAAATGGTTGAACTTTATTTTTACCCAACATACTAGAGCATATGAGATTTTTACCCAACACACAGAGCAGACACTGGATGAGGGGAATGTAGCTATAAATATATTTTAATAATGGTGTAATTACAGCAGTGTAAGAAAATTTGTTTCATGTTTTACAGTCACACCTTTTGTTCAAAAGTGGCATTTCTAATGTAGGTAAACCACTTTTTGATAATAAGAAATATCTCCAAATCAAACCTGCATTTATCATATGAAGATTTGTCACTTCTGACGGTATTATAAACATTGTATTAAGACTTTAAAGCAGGCCAGGCGTGGTGGCTCATGCCTGTAATCCCAGCACTTTGGAGGCTGAGATGGGAGGGTTGCTTGAGCCCAGGAATTTGAGATGAGCCTGGGCAACATGGTGAGACCCATCTTTACAAAAAATTAAAAAATTAGCTGGCTGTGGTGGTGTTTGTGAGGATGAGATGGGAGACTTGAGCACAGGAGGTCAAGGCTACAGGTGAGCTGAGATTGCATCACTATACTCCAGCCTGGGTGATAGAGTGAGACTGTCTCAAAAAAAAAAAAAAAAAAAACAGAAAAACAAAAAACTTAAAGACTGTAAAACAGTTACAAAAGTTGAATCCCAAAGCATTTTATGAAATGTCAGTGTCAGCGTTTTGAAAATAAATGTAGAACTTTCTGAGGCAATTGTTTTCATTGTAAATTTTTTTTTTCTTTTTTGAGACAGGGTATTACTGTGCTGCCTAGGCTGGTGTGCAGTGGTGCGATCATGGCTTACTGCAGCCTCTACCTCTGGGGCAGAATCTGTCCTCCCTACTCTGCCTCCTGAGTAGCTGAGAATGTAGGTGCATACCACCATGCCTGGTTAATTTTTTCTTTTTGGTATTTTTTGTAGAGACAGGGTTTCGCTGTGTTGCCCAGGTTGTCCTCAAACTTCTGAGTTCAAGTGATCTACATGCCTTGGCCACCCAAAATGTTGGGATTACAGGCGTAAACCACTGTACCAGCCAAGAATGTTCTTTTCAATGTGTGTTAAGCCATATTTATTTTAAAAGTCCCACTGAATTTTTAATACATGTAAAATACCAAAATATGAATTGTATAATTGGAAAAATGTCAATGTAAATGAAAAGAGACACTTTTTCTATTACTTCTGAAGCTTTAAAATATTAAAGATCATTATTCATATTTTCCTGGAGAATTTTTATTTTTAGTCATAATAATAAATGAGCAGCTGTCAGAAGATATAGCCATTTCTAGGTTTATTTATATAGTTCTCTCAAGTACTTGTCTTTAAGAAAATAGACATTAAGGATTTCTTGAGTAATCACATACTACATTGATATCTGTACAGAGCATGAGAACAAGACTAGAACCACATAAGCAGTAAGAATGATTAAAAGTCTTGTGATTTAGTCTTCATGCATGACAAAAAAAAAAAGTTTTGTGGGCTGGGCACAGTGGCTCACGCCTGTAATCCCAGCACTTTGGGAGGCCAAGATGGGCAGATCACAAGGTCAGGAGTTGGAGACCAGCCTGACCAATATAGTGAAACCCCATCTCTACTAAAAATACAAAAATCAGCTGGGCATGGTGGCGCGTGCCTGTAATCCCAGCTACTCAGGAGGCTGAGGCAAGAGAATCACTTGAACCCAGGAGGCGGAAGTTGCAGTGAGCTGAGATTGCACCACTGCACTCCAGTCTGGGTGACAGAGACTTAGTCTCAAAAACAAAAAAAAAAGTTTTGTAGCATAGCAAAGAATACATGGGGTAATTTACAGTGGAAAAGACGACATACAGAACATTGTTAGATGGAATATAGAAGGCTGTCTTTAAAAAAAGAATATCAGATTAAATAGACTGAAGAATTTGTATCCTTCTACAAGTAAAAATGAGATGAGGAATTAATGAGAAAATGTGTTCTAAAATATAATGTGAGCAATTAATGAGAAAATGTGCACTAAAATATCAGACCTTTTCTACTAATTTTTTTTTTTTTTTTCAAATGAGACTGGTAATGTTCTATTGCCCAGACTAAGGGAAGTGGTGCAATCCCAGCTCACTTCAGCCTCGACCTCCTGGGCTCAGGTAATCCTCCTGGTTTAGCCTTTTGAGTAGCTGGGACTATAGGTATGCACCATCATGTCAGGTTTATTTATTTATTTTTGTAGAGTCTGGGTTTTCCCATGTTGCCCAGGCTGGTCTTGAGCTCCTGGCCTCAAGTGATTTGCCTGCCTCAGCCTCTTAAAGTGTTGGGATTATAGTGTGAGCCACTACTGTACTTCTTTCGAGGGCCTGCTTCTAGTGTACTGCTCTCAGACTTTGCAGGTTCACTTACTTTTTTTTTTTTTTTTTTTTTTTAAAAAAGGTAAGCAGATCAAGACCATCCAACAGAAGCTTCTTCAGCTTTGCTTTTCTCTCTTTCTAAATTGTATAATTTCTGTCTCCCATTTGGTATCAGGCATATGACCTTTAGGCTTTCATGGCTACATCGTTTATCCCTTCTACTGTTAGAATGTATAGGACTGTTAATTAACTCTTTTATCATTTTTAGTTTAATCTTCCCTAATAACAATTTAATGGCTTAAACAAAAACTTTTCCTTATTTTTTCTTCTTTTTCCTTTCTTTAAAAAATATTATGCAACAGGCCAAAGGGGGAAAAGAAAACCAATTTATGTCTGTTGCTTCAATTTGGTTACCTTCTTTTTCACTAAAACTCTTCTTTCTGTTGTTACCAGTGACCTTCTGAATTCCCAGATGGGGACTCTTCAGCCTTGTTGCTTCAGATTTAACACTTTGAACCACTTTTCCTCCTACCTTCTCCTTATAACTTTGCTGTCCTCCTGGCTCATTTACAAAGTCAACTTATTTCTCAACTATTTGCCTTACACATTTTTCATTCTCTAGATTCTTTTTCTTGAAATGTTACCTGTTCTTTTGGCTTTAGTGAAAATCTATAGGTGACTCCTATAAGTTCCTGAACTTCAGTTTCCAGCTGGAGATTGTCACCTAATTGTCATGCCATCATGCTCAACCCACTCAAATTTGAATTTTCTTTTCCCTTAAAATGTATTTTTTTCTACTTTCCTTTTTTCATTGTTGGCTTTTCGTTCCCATTATCCAATCTTGAATTGTGAATCATCTTTGTATTCCCCATCAGATTCATTTGCTTGTCAAACTATCAGAGGCATGTGAACCAGAGCAATTCTACCTTCAACAGGAGCTGCGTAAAACGGGGCTGAAACCTACTGGACTGCATTCCCAGACAGTTAAGGCACTCTAAGTCACAGGATGAGATAGGAGATCGGCACAAAATACTGGTGATAAAGACCTTGCTGATAAAACAGGTTGCAGTTAAGGACCTGGCCAAAACCCACCAAAACCAAATGGCAATCAGAGTGATCGCTGGTCATCCTCACTACTACACTCCCATCAGTGCCATGGCAGTTTACAAATGCCATGGCAATGTCAGGAAGTTACCCTATATGGTCTAAAAAGGGGAGGCATGAATAATTCACCCCTTGTTTAGCATGTCATCAAGAAATAGTTGTAAAAATGGGCAACCAACAGCCCTCAGGACTGATCTGCCTATAGAGTAGCCATTCTTTTATTCCTTTACTTTATTAATAAACTTGCTTTCACTTTGCATTGCGGACTCACCCTTTCTTGCGTGAAATCCAAGAACCATCTTTTGGGATCTGGGTCGGGACATCTTTCCTGTGACATATTTCTTTTTCCTGTAACATATTTCTGGCGACCGTATAAGCGACTATAGTGCAGAAACCCTGAACCAACGGCTACCTTTGGGTAAGTGTTGGGATCCTGTAAGAAAACTGTGAATTCTATCAGTACAGTGTTTCTCTAGTTTATCTGCTTTTTTCTGTTTCATTTTATTTATTTATTTATTTTTATTGCATTTTAGGTTTTGGGGGTACATGTGAAGAACATGCAAGATTGTTGCATAGGTATACATGTAGCAGTGTGATTTGCTGCCTTCCTCCCCCTCACCTCTATCTGGCATTTCTCCCCATGCCATCCACCCCCCAACTCCCCCCACCCCCCCCTGTCCCTCCCCATTTCCCCCCAACCGACCCCGGTGTGTAGTGCTCCCCTCCCTGTGTCCATGTGTTCTCATTGTTCAACACCCGCCTATGAGTGAGAACATGCGGTGTTTGATTTTCTGCTCCTGTGTCAGTTTATTTTTGAGATGGAGTTTCGCTCTTGTTGCCCAGGCTGGAGTTGCAATGGCATGGTCTTGGCTCACTGCAGCCTCCGCCTCCCAGGTTCAAGGAATTCTCCTGTCTCAGCCTCCTGAGTAGCTGAGATTACAGGCACCTGCCACTATGCCTGGCTAATTTTTGGTATTTTTAGTAGAGACGGAGTTTCACCATGTTGGCCTGGATGGTCTTGCTCTCTTGACCTCGTGACCCGTCCGCCTCAGCCTCCCAAAGTGCTGGGATTACAGGCGTGAACCACTGCGCCTGACCGCCCCCCCTTTTTTAAAAATAGTTTAGGTTCTCGTTACCACGAACATATAAATAAATAAATATAATTTGGTAGTTGCTATGATAAAGCGTGAGGTGGCAGAGGAAGTTCTAGTAGGATAACGGTACGTGGTGATGATTATACTGAAAAGAGATGATGTTTAAGCTTAGCATCAAAAATAAGTAGGGGCATTCCAGGCAGACAAACTGAAGAAAGTCTTATTAGGAATTTGTTACCTGTTGTCAACTCTTGAGACTTTTTCTTTAATCCTTACTGCAGTTGTGTGCTTTTCCTATTTGCATATGCTATTGCCTTTCTTCAGATATTGATTAAAATCTGTGAATGAGCATGGAAAGACAGAATGACACACAGTAGTACATGTATCTTTATTACCCAGCTTGAGTGAGTAGAGTGGTAAAATGTAAAGTAGTGCAAAGTGAACGCTGCCTGCATTGAAGATTTAAAACCTGATATAATTTGTGTTAAAAGTTGTCTTGAAGGTTTTTCACTACTTGTAATGTAAATCTTCAGTAGGCAGCTGTTTTCAGTCTACTTTTGTTATGTGTGGTTTTATCTTTTATTTCTACCTCTTTTTTTTTTTTTCCTCTCGCTGTATTGCCCAGGTTGGAATGTAGTGGCTGTTCACAGATGTGATCATAGAGCACCGCAACCTCAAACTCCTAGCCTCAAGCAATCCTCCTGCCTCAGCCTCCTGAGTAGCTAGGACTAAAAATGTGTGCCACCAGATCCAGCTGTTTCTACCTCTTTCAAATGTGTGTGATTGCCCTACAGTGTGGTTGGGTAATATCTTGATATGAGTAGCCACTAATACTAAATATAAATTAACTGAATGCCACAGCAAGTAAAGAGATAATTTACTATTTTTGATTCCTTAGAGAAACCAAATATTTTGTGATTTTAAAATGAGAAGCATTAAAAACAATTCTAAAATGACTTAAACAGAAAGGTCATTTATTGCCTATATAAATAGGAAAAATAGAGATGGAGAAATTCAGGAACAACCAGATCTGGGAACTTAGATGCTGTCTTGAGAGTATTCTTCACTTCCTAGCTTCATGTTTTTTTCTTTTTTTGGTCTCATTTTCTGCTTATGTTAGAAAGCTTCTTTCATGGCAAAGACAGCTGAGAACTTAGTTTCCTAGGATGACCTCTGATGGGCTTATCTCTGGGCTAATCACTGTGGGGGATTGTTGTTCACGTTAACATCAGAACGACATAAATGGGGTAGTGTCAGTTCCCCAAAAGATACTTACTATTAACCAGATAAATAGGGAAAATGAATTTAAAGTAGCAAAAACAGTTTAAAGCCATTATAGAGGAAGAAAAAAGAAAAGGGAAAAAAGAGAGTAGTAGACACAGTGAAAGAGAAATATTTTCATAGGAGAGAGAAGCAGGGAAAGGAAGGGAACTAGTATCAGTTAAGAATTTACCGTATGGTGGCCAGGCGCAGTGGCTCACGCCTTTAATCGCAGCATTTTGGGAAGCTGAGGTGGGCGGATCACCTGAGGTTGGGAGTTCAAGACCAGCCTGACCAACATGGAGAAACCCCATTTCTATTAAAAATACAAAATTAGCTGGGCGTGGTGGCATATGCCTGTAATCCCAGCTACTTAGGAGGAATTTACTGTGTGGTAAGCCTTGTGTTAAGCATCTTATGTTTTATCTTTACAGCTCAGTGGAGGCAGCTGTATTATCTCCAGAGGATAACCATTTCTAGATCTGGTAGTTGAAAACCTTTTCTTTTTCCCAATTTGGCATATTTCCTTTATTTTTTATTTAATTTATTTTAAAATTTATTAGAATTTTTTTTTTTTTTTAAACTTTAAAGACTAAGTCTTGCTCTGTTGCCCAGCTGGAGTGCAGTGGTGGGATCTCGGCTCACTGTAGTCGCTGCCATCGGGGTTCAAGCAGTTCCTCTGCCTTAGCGTCCCGAGTAGCTGAGTAGCTGGGACTACAAGTGCGCATCACCACACCTGGCAAATTTTTTGTAGTTTTTAGTAGAGACAGGGTTTCAGCATGTTGGCCAGGATGGTCTCAGTCTTCTGACCTCGTGATCCACCCACCTCAGCCTTCCAAAGTGCTGGGATTACAGGTGTGAGCTACTGCACCCAGCCTCCTTTATTTTTTATAGTTTTTTCATTTTTAAATTATGTATTAATACATTAAAAGTTACACTTTATGATACACAGTTCTGTGGATTTTGGCAAATGCATAGAATATGTATCTACCCTCATAATCAAGACACAGAGCTCCTGCTGCCCCTTTGTAGTTAACCTCTCCTCTTAAGTTCATCCCCCTGGAAAACGCTGTTGTGTTCTCCATGGCTACTGTTTTACTTTTCCAGAATGCCATATACAGTTGTCCCTCATTATCTGAGGGAGATTAGTTCCAAAACTTCTTCAGATGCTAAAATTCACAAATGCTTGAGTACCTTATGTAAAGTGACCCAATGTTTACATATACACACATCCTCCTGATAACTCCAATCATCTCTGAATGTAATACCTTATACAATGTAAATACTATATACATAGCTGTAATCCCATGTTGTTTATTTGTATTATTTTTTTTTTCCTGCAATATTTTCTATCCATATTGGTTGAATTCTCAGATATGGAACTAGTGGATTTAGAGGGCCTACTGTAAGTGAAATTGTAGTTATATAGACTTTCGGATCAGCCTCTTTCACTTAGAAAATTTATTGAGATTCATTCATGTTGTGTGTATCAATAGTTTGTTCCTTTTCATTGCTGAGTATTAATCTATGGTATGAATGTACTATGGTTAATTTATTCATTTATCTGTTGAAAGATGTTTGGCTTGTCACTAGTTTTTGGCAATTATGAATAAAACTGGTATAGACATTCATATATAGCTTTGTGTATGATCGGTTTTCCTTTCGCTTGGGTAAATACCTGGGAGCAGAGTTCTGGATCGTGTGGTAAGCACATGTTTACTTTTGTATGAAACTGCCAATCATTTTCCAAAGTGGTTGTATCATTTTGCATTTCTACCACCAATGATTGAGAGTTTCAGTTGCTCTGCATCCTTGATAGCACTTGATATTATCTGTTTTTTTGTTTTTTTTTTTTTTGTTAATTTTTTAAGAGTAAACCTCACAATGTTTATTTTTAATTTTAGCTCTTATAATAGGTGTATAGTTATATATCATTGTGCTTTTAGTTTGCATTTTCTTACAAATGACTTTTGATATATTTTTATTTTCACGTGCTTTAAGATGTCTTTCCCCCTTTTTTTTTTTTAAAAAAAGAGTGTTGTTGCCATGTTACCCAAACTGGAGTATAGTGGTGTGATCATCATTCACTGCAGTTCAAGCAGTTCTTCTACCTCAGTTCCCCGAGAAGCTGGGAGTTGTGCCACCATGTCTGGCTAGTTTTTTTTTTTTCTGTAGAAATAAGGTCTCACTGTATTGCCCACGTTGTAAAATATCTTTCTTGAGCTGGTCATGATGGCACAAGTGTGTAATCACAGCTACTCAGGAGGCTGAGGCAGGAGGATCGCTTGAGCCCAGAAGTTTGAGATGAGCCTGGGCAACATAGGAAGACCCTGTCTCAAAACAGCAACAACAAAAACCTTTCTTTAACATTTTGAGAATGCTTATTGGCTTTAAAAAACGATGATAGTTCTTTTTTTCCAAAACAGAATAGTAAATGGCCCTGACAAGGTCTATAGCAAGCATTAGTTCTTTTTTTCCAAAACAGAATAGTAAATGGCCCTGACAAGGCCTATAGCAAGCATTTGGATTACACCCTCAACTGTATCACACAACTCCAGGGGACATCATTCACATAAAAAAAAATTTTCTTTTTTCTACACTGGAGTTTTGTAGTACAGCAGTCCAGGCTGTATATTTACAGTTATTATCTAGGATTATCAGTGATTAGGTTTCATGGAAAATTTGAGTACTACCAAATGATGTATTTAAAAAGCATTTTTCGGTGTTTCTCTGAAATGAAATTTTGTCCAGGAGCTGGTTCTGAAGAAATGCCCTACAGTCAGTATGTCTAATGCATCAGACTTGGGAGACATAAATGCCTATTTCAGATACCCACCTCTGGCATTTGCAGCATGAGTGACCTTGGGCATCTTGTCTATCTTCTTGGAGTTCTTTTTTTAATCAGCAAAACAGGGTTGATAATCTCTCCTTTTTGTAGATGTGACAAGAATTATAAATAATGCATGTAAAATACCTGACATAAAGTAGACGTCTTCAAGTTGCAACTGCTTTTACTTCTATTTTTTAGCACTTAGTGTTGATTAGCCAAACAGCATATCAGACAAAAGCTTACGGTATCAGC